AAGAGACAGGGACCGAGCTCCGGAGTGGAGCAAAGCTGGCACAGAAGAGGGGAGTTTTCTATGAAACGGGGGTGAGCCAAGTGAGTGTGGCGGTGCCCCAGGGTGCAGGCAGGGAGCACCTGCCTTGGGGGCTGTGGGGACTTTCTGTCACCCTTTAGGAAACCTCCCTCTTCTCCCGCCCATCAGACCGCATCTGCTTCAGTCTGCAGCTCGTACGCGTCCCCTCCAACAGGTATCTCGCCTGTGCTGACATGTGTGCAAAGTTGAGATAAAAAAAAAAAAGCCAGCAATAAAAGTTACCAAGTCCAAGGCTGCTCCTGCCTCGTAGGAGCGTTACAGCCGTTCGCCGGTGCAGGCTCGCTGCGTTAACGCTCCGTGATCTTTATGGTTTTATTTCCCTTCTAAACGCGTTGCGTTTTCATCCCCGATCCCGCTGTGAAGTACGAGTAAATCCTGAGCAGCACTGATAAAGGACAGCTGGTGGGGACCCTAAGTCTGCGGCTGTCTTTCACTTTCCGTTATAAAAGATTCATGTGAGCTCTTCCTGATAAACTCTTTTGCCCCTGCTTGTGCAAGGATTTGATAATTACCGAAGGGAAGCCTTTGGGATAAAAACGTGACTTATTGGCTGTTTTCCCCCGCCCGGTTTTGCTCGGGCTTTACTGCTTGCTCCTCTCCTGCCACTTGCATTCTGGAGGTGGTTAAAATCAGGAATTTGTCGGGTCTGTGCCCTTGTTGGATGCACCCTGAGAGCGGCTGTGGCAATAGCCAAGGGAGAGAGGTGGGCAAAGCTGCTTCAGCTGGCATAAAACTAGTGAGGAAGGAGAAAATTAAGCTCTTCAAGGCAATTGTGATGTCTGCTCTGGATGAAATCTGTAGGTTTTGAGGTCTGGCTGCATGAGCCACTGAATGCTCAGGAATCTTTGTGCTACACAGCTGGCTACCAGGGTGTACCCGTCTTCTGTGATGCTGCAAAGGTCAGAGCTCAGGTCCTGGCAGTGTGAGATACAATAACAACAGGCGTATTTGATACTATTTTTAATTTCATAATTTGGATTTATGTTTGGGTAGAGAGGGCATTTGTGCTTAAATGCTAAGAAAAACACTGTGAATAGCTGAGCTTTGTACGTGAGGAAATGTCAGTTTTAAATAAATTTTGCAGTGTCTCGCTTAAGTGCTTACATTTGTTCCTCATTTGTGCATGTCATGACACTCTAATTGTATTATAAAGGGCTTACAAACGAAGTCATTGTAATTAGCAGGAAACTTGCATGTAACATTTTGTTCTTGGAGTTTTCTTTGGTTAATGTGTACTGGAAATCTAAATGAAGTATATGAAACGGATTGTTAGACAACTTAAAAATCAGCATAGCACTGGTTGAATTTAGGAATTAATTAATTGAGAGGTGCCTTGCACTGGTAGATTTTGCTAATTTTGTATGAAAGAGGATGAGTAGAACAAGCTAATAATTCTGGATCCTTAAAATTGATAGGTGGCTTGAGTTTTCTTTTTTCTGTCCTGTTGCCTGCTGATTGTGCCTGAGGATGTTGGGACATCCCTGCCGTGTCTGATACACCATCAAGTGTCCCTTTAACTCCAACGCCTCGGTCACTGGTACTCAAAACCAGGCTTTTCCTTGTGACACCAGTTCAAACTCCAGTTTCTTTTTGATGAGAACGCATGCGCTACTTTGGCTGTTCTCTGCAGTTTGCAGGCAGGGTTCTGCCTGCACTTCAAGGTTGTCTTGTGTCTGTGTGGAGTCAGAATAATCTTTTGTTAAAAAAATTTACTGTTAATTTTTCTAACCTTGGTGCTGTCATCCTCTGACTTCAGGCTTGTCTGCTCTGGGATGTTTGGGAAATTAAGTTTGACTTTACCAAAAGTGTAATTCAGTAAAACTGCTAAACTCTGCTGAGCCCTGTTTGACACTGTGGCCCTGGCCTGCTCAGCCATCTTCGCTGCTGGCATTACTACAGTTTTCAAGCATCATTTGCTTCTTTTATTTTTACTGCTTTGGAGACAGTAATTAACTTTTGTTGCTGATACATTTTGAATTGTCAGACCCAGATTACAATTGAGATTCTGACCTGTTCAAGGGTTGATTATGTCGTGTTGCGTTTTGTCACGTTGCATAGATGGCACGAGTCACCTTTATGCCTGTCATGCGCAGACCAGAATGGAGAAATTGTTGCTTCTCCATCATGAACTTCAAGTGCTGGGTTTGTTCGCTTTACACTTGGATGGGCTCCACCCTATTCCATAAATCCAGCTTTCTGCCAGAGCTATTTTTGTTCAGGGTCACTGGCTGACCCAAGACGGGTTGTGCTGGATTTAGTTCCCAAGTGAGCCCAGATGTGGGTGGAATTGAAATCATACCAGTTTCAGTGCATGCAAGGATATTTCCCCAAGGATGTCTCTAGTGGGAAAAAGAGAAATGGTGAAGTTGCACTTTTCATTACTTCAGTATTTGAATTTAGTGGTGTTGACATGGGCTGGATTAGTGCGGCTGGTTGGTTTGTTGATGTGAGTTCCTGCCTGGGTAGGTAGGATGGAGTGTGAATTTGCCACCTCATTTCCCATCCCTGCGCTTCGTGCCCTGTTTGTTGGCTCACGTAGTGATTCAGCAAGGATAGCATAGCATTAGTATTTTTTGATGGCCATGTCTTGCAGCTGCTTAATAAACTGGCTGTTTCACGTGGATTCTTAAGCAGTCACTGTGTATTACATGTTAATTGTAAATAAAAGTCATCCAGTCCTTGAATTCCTCAGTTCTGAGTGGTCTTTGTACCATCACCTGGTTGTGATTCATAGTCATCACAATAATGAAAGAAAAAAAAAGGCAGGAGCATTGGAACAATTAGTATGGACTCAGTAGCTAGCTTTGTTTCTTTATAGCAAACCTCCAGATAATTGTTCCTTAAGCAGCTGTAAGTATGAGTTACTGTAAACTGCCGTATTTGAGCAGTTTGCACTTCAGCAGATAGTCTGGCATTCCCTTGCATCAGTTCTCTGTTGACCTTTATGGGCAGGTTGATTACTGCAGTAGTAGTTGGCATTTCAATTCCTATCAGAGGATGTAAGATTAATTAAAACACTCCTTAAAACAGGGAATCTTTGCTAATGTCAAACAGCTCTCAGGTGCTCTCACTGGCGTTCAAGGGCTGGTATTTAGCTGCACTCCAGGTGTCACCTGCCTGTAATCTAAGGGAGAATGTCCTGCTCTGGACTTGTTAAAACATTTTCATTTCAGTGGGTGGTTTTGACTTAACGTGGCTGTGACTGTTCCACAGCAGATGGAGTGAGATGGTGCTTGTGGAAAGGGAGCAGAGGTCTTGGAGGAGTTGCTAATCTTTTGCAGAAATTGGGGCATAGGTGAAACTTGTGAACTTTTGAGTAAGAGAAACACAAAACTGTACATCACCTAATTTTTCATCACCCCATAATAAAAATGTCAAGTGACAGAATTTATAATTTTTAATTTACTTCTGTGTAAGGAAGAGGGCAAGCAGGTTATTTTTCACAAGTATGAAATGTTCTGTTTTATGTATGATTTCATGTATTATCCTGCAAAGACCACTCATTGTACCACCCTGTACAACTAGCATTTATCTTAAATTAAAACAAAGAGCTTTTAATTTTTTTTTTTAAAAAAAATTTATCCCTGGCATGCAAAGCAGTAGCCTGATTTCTTGAATTATCTATTCTGCAGCCTTAGTGATAATGTCAGGAATAACTTCAGACTAGCTTCTCCTCACAAGGTCTCGAATGCTGTGCAGGAGAGTAAGATGTGATTCCCGCCGTGCTGGGTGGTGACACGATGTGGGGGCCACACTGTGGATAAACCCAACACCTCTTAATCGATTGGCAGTGAAAAGCCACATTGAAATGCTGATAGAAAGTAGACTTGTATATCACAGCAGCAGGGTAGCATTCGGGGTAGTCCCATATGAGCTGTGTGCTCAAAATCTTTCTGTTCTCACATCTAATTTGTGAGCAGGTGCTACTTGACTCATCTTTTCCTGATTTCTAGCGAGTTGTTCATTTTTAATAAGCATTGTGCCAATCCCCTCCTGGGAACACTGTAGCTCTTTGTCTCAGTTATTAAAGAATTCAAGGATGCATGGAAGGAAGGCACATGGTAAGGTGTAATGATCGTAATATGAATTTTAGGTTGTTTTCATCTTTTTTTTAACTAGTTCCTACATGAAACCCGAAGTGGAAGGCTGTACTTGCTGCTCAGGTAGTTCCTTGTCATCCCAGCCCACCCCAGCCTGAGGTTGTGGTGCAAGGAACTGCAGTTTAATAGTCCTTGCAGTTGTCTCCTGCACACATTGTTATTTCTGACCCCTTAAAGCAACACTTAACAAAACCGCAGCTCTCAAAATATGCAAAAGTGTTTTTTCTACTGTTTCTCAAGTATTTGTTACGGTGCAAACCCCAGCATGTTCAAAGCTGTCCTAAATTAAGGCAGCAGTTCTAAATTCATATTTATTGCAGATACTTTTGAAAGACAGGTAATACTTGTTATTATTTATTTTTTTGGTATCAAGAATCTGTGAAGAAAATCTGGTTCTCCTGTGAGAATTTTCCATAAGTGTTTGGGGCTGAGGCAAGTGTGAAGTGTGAGGCAACTGTGCAGGCAAGGGTGAAGTGTAGGCTGTGGTCCGATAAAAAGGTCGTAGCAAACTGAAACAGGGAATTGAGCTTCCAATGCCAGAGAGGGATATATTGAAGGGATTTTCTTGAGACAGTTCTATGTAGGCTGTACCTTTTGGGTCTCTCAGAAAACCCAAATCTTCCTGATGATGTAGTGGGTTGAGTCCGTAGTATCTTGTCCGTCTTAAAAATGATCTGGTTTGTGTTTTGGATGACTGATGTGAATAGCTGTTAGTCTCTTGGGTTTACAGCACTCTCCTGTGGAGGCAGTTTTGGATACAAGAAGCTGGCGGTGGTGCAAAAACGTATAGACTTCATAGTTGCCCGCTGCCCTGAAAAGAAGCTATAATGCAGTTGTTGGCAGCCCTTTCAGTAGATGATATAAAAGGGCATTTTTTGGTGTAAGTACACAGTTGCTCACTCAACCTGCAGTTCTGAAAGACCAAACTCTTGTTCTGCAATTTAGTGTGCTCTAGATCTGGAGACTGGGTTATTTGCTTTTTATCTGTCCTCAGCAGGTCTGGCAAAACATGCACAAGTTCTGGGGTTGACCAAACACTTGGTTTCCATCTTCAGAGGATGAGTCCTCACGAACACATTAGGAACAATTCTCTCTCAGCAGGGATGTGCATCATTGATAGCATTTGGTTCTTTATCTGTATCACACTTTTTCTGCTCTTTTGTTGACTTAATCTTACTTAAAGTGTTGGAGCAAAGGGGTGCCCTCTGTATTGTATGGAAGTTTTTACACCAGCTTTCTTATCTTTTGAGCACCATCTTAAACATTCATATTTTTGGTTGAAGTTGTGGTGGGAGAGGCTTGGCTTCACACTAGGTAGTAAAATATCTTTAATCCTGGCAGAGGAAATATTATGT